CCCAGCAATAGCCAGCCTCAACATTTGACTGCCTTGAAATTTCTTTTGCCAGATTAATTAGTCTGTTACCCTTAACCTCAGTCTCTGGAAAACCCTGTTAACATGAGCAAAATGCAGACAAATTTTCTGTCAAGCCATCACACATATAGCCTGAATTCCAGCCAGTGGAATCCTTCCCAGCAGAACTTCCCAACCCTGACCTTTAACGGCAGGATGTCCATCAGCCTTCTGGTATTCTGAGCTCTGATCAGGATCTCCCATACAGAACAGCCTAAGGTACTCAAGCACTACTCTTTCAGGTGACATTTCTGAAAATTTCTAAACTTTTTCCACAAGTGATTTCCAAGGAATCTTGAACCACATGGTCAGATATAGCTACCAGCAACAACCACATTCCTGGTATCAAATTCTGTCTTAGCTACTTTTCTCATTGCTGATAGAAAATACCTGAAGCCTAAAATCAAGGAAGGAAAGGTTTATTTAGCTCACAGTTGGTGGGGGTTTTAGAACACAATCAGCTGGCAGGGTGGTGTGGCAGAGGGCAATAGTTCATGGCAGTGAAAGAAACTAACAAGAACAAAAAGGGGGAGGAGCAAGGCTCTTTTCCTCCCATACATTGTATGCAGGCTACTTGCCCTAGAGCAGGTGTAGCAGTCATTCTCCCAATACCAGCACTACACAATGAACCAGTCACGAACTGTAGATTCAGCCACCCAGGAAAATCCCACCTCCCTATTCCCACATGAAGCTTTGGTGGGACATCTAGACACAAACCATAACACTCAGTGAGACCCATTTTGAATTTCTGACCTCCAGAAATGTAAGATAATAACTTTTATGTTGTTTTAGGCCATTACATTTGGGGTTGTTACAGTATAGGAGTCATCCTATGAGTTGTACTTGATTGAGAGTCAAACAAAGATGAAAAACAAAGAAACACAGAATCAGGTTAAAATATTGGGAGACCAAGGGGTTATTGTCTGCCTTAGATAGATAGCCCCAAGTGACTGGCTCACCTTGCCTTTATTGACTCAGATGCAAGAACAAGCAATTAGAGTTACACAAGTTTCATTTGCCTCACATTATCCATAGTGCCTGTCCAGGTAAACACCTGGATCTCAGCTGTGTTGATTCCTTCCTAGAACTGCAACGTGCCAGAATGCTTGCATGCTACCTTTCTCCTCAGTGCCCACAGAAGATGTCAATTATGTTTAATTCTTATGGTCTGCTCTCCCACAGTAACAGCACAAAAAACTAGGCCAACTACATTAAGCAAATTTTATTCAGTCTTTAGGTCATCACTGTGAGAATCAGTTAGTAGTGAAATATAAGTAAATAGACATGTTGGTTAATGAAGCTTTTCTCTTCAAAAGGCTAAATGAACAGGTCTTTACTATAGAAACTTGCTAAGAATTAGCTGCATACTGCAGAACAAATAGATAAAATTAGGAAATATGTCCTAAAGGATGTTGAATCTTTAGGTAAATTTTTAAGACTACAGAAGAGAACACTTAAAAAGGAGATAGTGGGCACTTCAAGAGCATCTGGAAAACACCCAAGCATAGGCAGAATAGGTAACTATTGGTGATTTTATCTACATAAAAGTACATGAAGAAAGCAGGATAATCTTGTCAAAACAATGTTTTTAATTTATTTTTATACAAAGACTCATGACGTGCTTGTAGGTTTCTGCAACATTTTGGAAAGGATGGTTATTGGCTTATTGGCATAGATACTTTACCAGCTTTCTATCACTATGAAAAGGAATACATTCCTTGAAAGAAACCAACCCAACAGTAATCCCACCACTGCAGAGATGTAGGTAAAATATAGACTTCTCTTTCTTATGTGTTATCATAGTGGAAGAGATCTCACTGGTGAAGACGTATTTAAAGAGGGAATGATTGCACATACTTCCTTTCCCTGACGGAAAAACAATAATAATCAATATTCTAAATAGGCATCAGTCAGCTGGGTAGGGAACTAATACTTCCTGTCCCATCCCTTCCAGGAAAGGCCTTTGTTCTTTCCATGCACAGTTGCTATATGATTTGCTTCTCCACTGGATCAGTACTACCTAAGCAGCTATACTTGTAAGCTTATTGATTGACCATAGCTTTGTCCCACCTTGTACCCATCTTGTGATTTTGCTCTATAAAACTCTGATTTTGCTCTATAAAACTTCCTTTGTGAAGTGGGCTTGTGTGTAACCAACTTTCCAGGTTCCCTCTTGTAACTTTGAGGCAGGCTGTCTTTCTCTCAATAAAATTTACTACTCTTAACCTCCACTGTTCCTCAGAAGTCATTCTTTGATTTTGGAGAATACAAACTTGTCACATCAGAAATCTAGCAGCAGGGGTTTAATATTTCCCTTAATATCATTTAGAGGTCCTATATCATTCTTATGTTATTAGGACAGTATTTTCTAGCTGTTTCTTTGCTCAACACCAGAGAATTAGCAAACTTTCTAGCACCTAAGCTCAAAGGTAGAAACCATAGTCAGATTTTATACCCTTTGTGCTCAGCACACAGTAGGTGCTCAATAAATTTCTATAAATAGAATGAAGAAATTAATACAAGTGTTCCATATAGTAGAGGATCCATACTTTGAGATGGAAATAGGGCCAGGGATTTAGCTCAGCAGCATAAGCGCCTACCTGGCAAGCATGAGGTTGTGTTTGATCCCTGGTACCAAAAAAAAAAAAAAAAAAAAAAAATTCAATTGAGATGGAAATAACAGGGAGTAGTTATTATCATTAGCATACATATATACTGCATAACTCTATGTGATAAAGTGCTAGAGTTTATAGAGACTCTAAATACCACTCCTGCTTTTTTGGGATAAAATCTTGGGCAAAAAGTACAAAAGGACCTTTATTCGTACATAAAAATTTATTAAACATTATCGATGTTCCAGCATTGTTTCTTGGCACTGAGATTATAATGACAAATATGGCAAAGGTAACACACATGAAGGTATGGACAGCTGTTTGAAGAGAACAAGAGACATTATGGTAGACATTCTTGATTTCCCTATTGTCTGGTTTTGAAGGTCTGTAATGCCTTCATCACTCTGTTCTGAACAGTTTTGTACTATTTTGTACTTTATGAATTCATTGTGTGTGAAGATACAGATAACTCTTTAGAAGAAAGTAAGAGACATTTTTGAAAAGTTCTTGCCTTAGAAAAAATTACGGTGGAGGTCTAACATGGTAAAAGGCCAAAGCGGAAACACCTACCACTTTCTGCTTCTTCTTCAGCGTTCAACTTCAAGGCTCCTTCCTGTTTGCACATGAAGAAAATTCCAATCAGCTCCTGGTGCATCATCAGTGCCCACTCTAAGCGCCACTCCAGTCAGAGGTTATATATATATCCTGTACATTCTGGCAGAGAAAGCCAGGCTGCTGGCGGTCATGGAGTTCTCTCCACATCCTTGGAACAAAGGCTATTTTTACTTTATATTCTCTTTTATCGTGCTGAAAACTCTTTCAATTGTGGTAGCCAATGCTGATCCCTTGTTGTCTTGTTTTGAAACCTGTGTCACTTACATTGTTTTCTTTTGATTTGCTTTGTTCTGTTTATGTCTTGTTTTATTCTCTTTAAAATAGAAAACACAATTTCTGCCCTTGGGGAGCCAAATTCATATATCCAAATGATGCGTGAAGGAAAAAATAAAGTATGGAACTGGAGATATGAAGCAGGATATATTAAAATTTTAGATAATGTTGCCAGTGAAGGTCTCATATAGGCAGCCATGGAATAAAGGCCTCAAAAAATTGGGAATTTAGCTCAGCAGTGCCTACCTTGCAAGCCATGATCGTGAGTTTGATCCCCGGTACAAAAAAAATCTTTTAAAAAAACCTGTTATATTACTATAAAGGATAAGAAAGGTGAAAAGAAGAGAGGCAGTGTGTGTGTGCAAAGCATCAGACCAGTCCCTACTGGCAACAGTAACAACTGGGCAAATTTTGGGTCTCACTATGGTGGCAACAGCCAGTGCTAAGATGCCTGCAAAAATCCTGTGATTTTAAATGGTACGAAGGGTAAAGGTATGGCTTATGGCTTCAAACAGAACAAAAAGTGCTTAAATTAATGTCAAGTGGGAAGGTTACAAAACCAGTTCAGCATTTTTCTAATTTAAATTCTTTCTTCAGGCATTAGTGGAGGTTAAGGAAAAGAGAAAGAGAAAATAAGCAAACAATGGCTCAAGGTGGTCTTCTGAAGCATAAAAAAAAGGAACAAATGTGCAAGGTGAAGCTTGACTGGCACCTTGTGGGGTAAATGGTCTGTCTCCCCCATACCCAAATATATGATGAAGGCCCATGCCCTAATACCACGGATTGTGACCCTACACAGAAAAAATGGGTAACTACAGACATAGGTAAGGAGGTAACACTGGATGATGGCCACCCAATCCAATATGGCCAGTCTCCTTATAAAACATGCAAATTTGAACAGTCACACACGGAGAACATCATGTGCAAATTTAATTTATGCTGCCACAATCCAAAGAATTACCAGAATGGAAAAGGCCTAGGAGAGATCCTCTTCTATTGTCTTCCAAAGGAGCAGAGCCCTTCCCACACCTCCACCTCAGGATTCTAGCTTTCAAAACAAGGATAATAGTTTTCATCTTTCTAAACCGCTCAGTTTGTGGTAGCTCTTATGCAATCCTTGGAAGCTAGGTCAATGTGTAAAATGGCTTTGAGGCAAATGCAAAAAGCATTCTTAATAGGAAGTGACTAATTGACTTATTCATTAGAAAAGGCCAACGCTTTGACATTTGCAAATTTTATTTTCCTGTTTCCAAACCTCTCTCTTTTTAATTTCATGTTGCATTTTTAAGAAGGAAAAATCATATAAGATCTTCTAGCTGCCAAAATTGAAGGCCCCTTCTGATCTGTGTGCTCCTAACGCCTGTCACAAACATCAACTCATCCGATACTTGCGGCGACGGATCTGAAGCCTGGCCTGCCGCGCTTGCGCACTCGCGAAGGCGCCTGCCACGGGGGCGGGGCAGGCCGGCCGGGCGGAGCCGCGGCAGCCACGGCAGGGCCTGGCCCAAGACACGCCCGTCAACCTCCGAGCCCTGCGATTCCGCCCTGCCCGCGACTCCCCCGGAAGCGCGTCCTCGTCGCTGACACGTGCGCACTGGGGCGCCCGCCTAGCTTTCCTGCCCCACCGGGCTGCTGGCGGCCGGGCTGCTGGCGGCCGGTCTGCGGCGGGCAGCCCCATCTTCTCGAGTGCCAGCGAGCCTGGGGCGGGCCGCCGGCGGCTCCCGGGCGCAGCACCTCTCCAGGCCGGCTTTCCGCCTTCGCGCAGCTGCCATCACGCCTCACGGGCTGGGCTCTACTGCGCAGGCGCGCTGGGAGGGCGGGGCGCCGCGCTCAGGACGGCTCGCGCCGCCGCCCGCTCGCCCGCCTGCGGCAGCTGCGCTCCTCCCGGCGGCGCCCCGCGTCCGTCAAGCTGCGGAGAGGACGCCGACGGAGCCCCACCGCTTGCCCGTCCCTCGCCCTCGTCCCTCGCCTCAGGGAACATGGGTGAGTCGCCCGTCCGCGTGGGGCCGGGTACGCGCGGAGTCCCAGCTCCGAGGTCTGCGGGCGCGGGGCGGCGGCTGCGGGCCGCGTGGGAGGGGCGGGTGGGGCGGCAGCCGCCGCCGCCTGCTCTCGTGGGCCGCGCTCTGGCCGCGTCCCCCGGACGCGCGGCCCCGCTCGGTGCAACTCCTCGACTCAGCCCCTGTCCAGCTCTGCCGACAGGGGGCGGCGGTTCCCGGCGGCGGTCGGGCTGGGTCGAGTGTGGTGTGGCTCAGCGCCCTGCTCTCGGAGCCGGCAGCCTTGTAGTGTCAGTTCATCTCGAGACAGGCTTGGGTGGAGGATCTGGAACCGCGCTACGCAGAGCCGCTGTCCGCTGTTCTTACTGTGCGCCGGGCGAAAGAAGTCTGCCGCGCCGGGCGAAAGTTTGTTTCGGGAGTGGCCGCCCCGCTCCAATCCGCGTCGGCCGGGGCTCGCTGCGCTCTCCGCCGCCCCGCGCACCTTACCGACCGGCTCGGCCCGGCCCAGCTGTCCTGGTTCACGGCGCTGTCCGAGGCCTCTTGCGCACCGCGCGGATCAGGGAGGCCGCGGCGCAGGTGCTGGCGGCGTGGGCGGAAGGCACCCGGGACCCGAATTGTGCTTTGTGTTCTGTTTTAGTGTATTGTTGGTGTGCTAAACAAATTTTTGTGCCTTTTTCTGTCTAGAATTTTTAATGAATGTTAAATTAGGTAGTTGAACATGGTAGTTTTTTGAACAGTAGTCTTAATTTTAGGCCACGAGCTTGCTTTGTGAAATACAGTTCTTCATGTTTCTAGATGAACTTAAATCCATTTAAATAAAAATTTGAAGGGTGAATCAATACTTTTTCACTGAAAAAAAATCCAGTCTGTTGCAAAACTAATAAAAACAACACTAAATTAGTTACAAATAGTTGTTCTTGAGTGCCATTGGGTGATTTAAAAAAGAGAAACCACTAATTTTGAGGAAACCACCACTCAATATGAGAAGACATTAAAAGGCAGCTTTTCCTTACCATTAATTAGTATTATGTTATGAGCTGTTTAAATAACTTTGACTCAGATATATAATTGCTGTCAAAGATAGTTTAGATTAATCTTACAGCTGTCTGTACTTTGTTAGTTTTTTTTTTTTTTTTGTGGTTTTTTTTTTTTTTTGACATGTCCGTAATCTATACTGGAGTTGGTTGTGTGTTTGTGTAAGGCATTTAATCTTGAGTTCCAGAAGGTAAAATTACGTTTTATTGTATTTTGTGTATCTCACAGTGCTTTTCACATATTACATGTTCAGTAAACTCAGAATTACTGCTTAAAAACCACCTTGATTTCTAACTTTTTGATCCATGAAGTACAGATCTGGAACAAACATTTGTGTTGGTGCATAAGAAGACACAGAAGCCATGGGAATAGGAAAGTACGATTACAGTATGGTTTCTCTTGTCTGTTAAAAAAAAAATGTGAGTAGTCTTTGAGGTACAGTTTGGAGTCAAACCATTTCCTTCTAAACTGCTGTTTCCAGTGGTAAGGTGGTCTTGTGTGTGATCAGCAGGTACATATGATAATGTAAAATTTAAATCCTTGAAAGCAATTGTATGTCTGCGCCAAGGAAGTTATTTTAACAGTTCACAAGATGTACTGGTTAATAGTAGGAGGAAAATTGCTTTCTAATCTGTCATCTCATAAAATAAATCAGGTGATTTTTTTTCAAAAAGATTTTTATGACAATGACTGTCTCCATCAGAAAGATCTCCTATATAACCTATAAAAACTCCTATATAAACTTGTGGACCAATGCTGTTATTTTACGTATTTTATTATGAATTCAACATTTCTTGTTGAGTATCAACCATAAGCCATGTACTGTTTGTTATAATTTTAACAAAACGATGCATAAGTATAGAAATGAGCATTAAAAAGATACAAAGCTTTTATATAGATTATGAGTAATGGGCATAGGAAGTTTTAGAGAAGTGTTACTTGACTCAGCCTTCTGAAAGGTAGAAATGAAGCTGTTACTCAGGAATGGGACAAGGAAGACATTAATGCAGAGTGAATCTCTGAGGAGTTTCTAGAGTTGGATTGAATCGCCAAGTTAAAAGTACGAAGAGTTTGGATTTGTTTGTTGAGGGACCACTGAATACTTTTATGCAGTGAATTGTTGCAGTTTATAGGGACTGACATTTGGTCCTTTCTTGCTTGAGAATAATTTGTAATTTCAAGGTAGTGCTTCACATTTCTTTGATGTTCCACTTCCTTATGTCTTTGTGAGGTGGCATACAACAGTTTGTTTTTGTAGTGTCTGTCACTAGGCATTATGTTTCAAGCTACATTTCAATGGGAACAAAAACACTGAAATCACTGCAGTGATAGTCTGTTTGGAGTATAAATTTTTGATTGTTTAAACTAAAGTTTTAAGTATACATTGATATTAGATTCATTTTACTATAACTTGTTTTTCTTTAGTGTTCAAATGGTACTTTCTGCAATTCTTTCATTACCAGAAGCATTGTAGAACTTAAAGTCAAGGATTAGGATAGTGACAAATGGTAGTTAAATTAAGCTACTAGCTATTAGATGTAAATTTCAGTAAATTAGATGTAAATTTCAGTAAATTCTGATTTTTTTTTTTTTCGGTTTTCTGCACAGAATGATTGTACATACCTATTGGTGTGTGTATGTGCTACATCTTTGTATCCAGTCAATTTCATCCATAATTCAAACTGAAGTTCAAAATTGAATTCACTTTATAACGCTTAATAATAATAAGCAGTTGTATTAACCAGGTGTTCTGGAGAAAACCCTTCTCCAGAAGCCCTGATTTGTGGTGATTGCCAGTTTCTTAATGTTGTAATCACTTTAATCATGGGCAGTTTGAAGCTACAAAATGCTGTTGCCAAATATCCATTGATTTGAGAAGAGATGGAATACAATATACCATTATATAGTTTATCCACTACACAGACATAGTAATGTCATAAGCACAGGAAGTAGTAAAATGTAAGAAATTATGATTTTGAATATTAATAACTTTTAATGTAATTTAAAGTGTATATAGTTTAATTTTCAATAGTGCTTATTTTAATAACTGTCTCGTAAAATTCCTAAAAATTTAATCATGTCTCATGGACCAGTAAGGGAGTATTCCGTACACTATTGAGTTAATAATTCATAAAGAATTACTGAGGTTCAGTTATGCTATGGTTTAAAGTTTCTTCACTTTTTTCATAGTACTGAGGATTGAACACCAGATCTTTGCACAGAGATACATCCCCAGCTGTTTTAGAACCTCCCTCCCCCACCCCAGACTCAATCTCACTAAATTGCTAGATTGCCCAGGCTGACCTTGATTTTGGCAATGCTCCTGCCTCAGCCTCCCAGAATGCTTGGATTACTAGCATGTGCCATAACATGCACCTTTGTTTTAGTCTTTCCAACAGTCTATGACAATTCTTATATTACTGATGGTAACATTTGTACGAGGAGACAGAACTAACACTGAAATCCTGATTTAATGCAGTGATTTTCAAATGTTAGGTTTCATAAGAATCATCCATAGAGCTTGTTTTTAAAACAATACTGAGCTCATTCTCAGGAATTGTGATTCAGCAGGTACAGAATCTGGCAGGCTGAGAGGGTGCGTTGTTTTTAAGATGCTCCCAGTGAGGCTTCACTGGGGACAGTGCCACATCAACAGGGCTGGCAGACTTGTCAGTGAAGGGCCAGATGGTAAATATTTTAAGCTTTGCAGGCCAAGAGGCAAAATCCAGGGTATTACATAGAAACTAGAAAAAATTTATGATGAGAGAAAACAAATACCCACAAATTTTTTGACTGAATTCAAAGCATGATAACATTAATGCAACACAGTTTATTGTAATGTGAAGTGAAAAAGACTGAAATTGGTTTTTAGGGGAGGAAAATAACATTTTACTTAATTGTGGTTTTAATCATAGGAATCTGATCCTGTCATGGTGGATTTTAAGTGGTAGGTGTTCTTCAGTTAAATACTGCTATTTATGAATTTAATCTTTGAAGCTGTCCCCCTCCACCCCCCACTGTCAATTGAGTATTTTTCGTTTGTTGTGCTGGAAGTCAAACTTAGGATCTTGCTTGTGCTAGGAAAACACACTATCACTGTGTTACATCCCCAGGCCTGCATACAATTTTAATGAGTATATTCATTGTGTGGAAGATGTGTATAGGAGTCATTTAGATTGTTATTGATATTTGAAATTTAGTAGGTTAAACACCCATTTCCACTTGAAAGTTGGGTGGGAGTGCCTCAATTAGATAGTTAAATAGATATTGGAATATAGAAATTCCGTTTGCACCTGCTGTGACATCTGAAAAAACTGCTATAACTGTAGATTGAGCCTGAAAAATATGTGTTAAGAATTTGTGTTTGCATAGAGATCTTGTTGTAATGCATCAGTCAGTGGGTAAAGTGGATTTCTGCTGCATGTTGTAAACTCTGCTGCAGTGATGTGAATGCAGCCATAGACATTGCATGGAAGTTTGAGTGGTATTCTAATAAATGTTTATTTATGGACACTGAAATTGGAGTTTCATATTTAATTTTCACATCATAAACTATAGCCTCAAATTAATTCAATCATGTAAGCATAAAAGCCATTCTTAACCATAAGCCATATAAAAACCAAGTTATATACTTGACCCACTCCTCCTATATAGTATACATTTTTTCCAAGTTGTTTGCATCCTGTGAATTCTCTGAGTGAGTATTTTGATGGCTGACATTTGCTTTTTTTCATTAACAAATTTGAGCTAGTCTGATATAATGAAAATGACACTAGCATAACAGTTAGCTGATCAAGATACCAAGCAAGACAGTGTCAGTAAGTAATGATGTGAACTCAAGTAGGTCTCTTAATCCCACTTGCTCTCCAATCTGTACTGAACAAAAACAGCCATGAGATAATTATTGAGGTCCTGGATCTCACACACCATCTTTGAGTTAAAAAAACAGCAATC